GGGTGTGTGTGTGGGTGTCTGGGTGTGTGTGTGTGGGTGTCTGGGCGTGTGTGGGTGGGTGGATTTGTGAGTGGGTGTGCGTGTGGGGTGTGTGAGTGGGTGGGTTTGTGAGTGGGTGTGTGTGGGGTATGTGAGTGGGTGGGTTTGTGAGTGGGTGGGTGTGTGGGGTGTGCGGATGTTAGGGTTTGAGTGTGTGGATGTCTGGGCGTGTGTGGATGTCTGGGCGTGTGTGGGTGTCTGGGCGTGTGTGGGTGTCTGGGTGTGGGTGTGTGTGGGTGTCTGGGTGTGTGTGTGGGTGTCTGGGTGTGTGTGGGTGTCTGGGCGTGTGTGGGTGTCTGGGCGTGTGTGGGTGTCTGGGCGTGTGTGGGTGTCTGGGCGTGTGTGGGTGTGTGTGGGTGTCTGGGCGTGTGTGGGTGTCTGGGTGTGTGTGGGTGTCTGGGTGTGTGTGGGTGTGTGTGGGTGTCTGGGCGTGTGTGGGTGTGTGTGTGAGGGGGTGTGTGTGGGGTGTCGATTTGAGGGTTTGGGTGTATGGATGCAAGGCAGTGTGTGGGTGTCTGGGCGTGTGTTGGTTGGTGTGTGCCTGGGGTGGGTGTGTGTGTCTGGTTGTGTGAGTGGGTTTGTGTCTGGGTGTGTGAGTGGGTGTATGTCTGGGGGGTGTATGTCTGGGGTGTGTGTGTCTGGGCGTGTGTCTGAGGGTCTGTGAGTCTGAGGGTGTGTGAGTCTGAGGGTGTGTGAGTCTGAGGATGTATGTGTCTGAGGGTGTGTGTGGGGGGAGCAGTAGTGTAGCAGTTAGCGTGCTGCGCTATGAACCTGGCGACCCGGGTTAGATTCCCGCTCATGGCCAACACCAGTGACGATTATCTGAACCGGTCCCGGGCCTCCCCTAGGTCGACTCAGCCTCAAATGAGTACCTGGTGCGGTGTGTAAACATTGCCACTAGGGAGACAAAGGCGGTCGGGCGTGGTCCTGGCCACCCACCCCCTCGTGTACCGTTCCGGCCTTCAGAGGTGCTCGCTAACAGCACTTGCCCCTACAGTCTGTTAAGGCTATAAGGGGGATCTTCGTAAGTGGGTGTGTGTGTCTGGGGGTGTGTGGATGTGAGTGGGTGTGTCTGGGGTGTGTGAGTGTGTGTGTGTGTGTCTGGGATGTGTGTGTGTGTCTGGGGGTGTGTGGATGTGAGTGGGTGTATCTGGGGTGTGTGAGTGGGTGTGTGTGTGTCTGGGATGTGTGTGTGTGTGTGTGTCTGGGGGTGTGTGGATGTGAGTGGGTGTATCTGGGGTGTGAATGGGTGTGTCTGGGGTGTGGGTGTGTGTCTGGGGTGTGAGTGGGTGTGGGTGTGAGTGGGTGTGGATGTGAGTGGGTGTATCTGGGGTGTAAGAGTGGGTGTGTGGATGTGAGTGGATGTATCTGGGGTGTGAGAGTGGGTGTGTGGATGGATGTGTAGGTGGGTGTGTGTGAGTGGGTGTGTGAGTGGGTGTGTGTGAGAGTGGGTGTGTGTCTGGGGTGTGAGTGGGTGTGTGTGTGTGTGTGTCTGGGGTGTGTGAGTGGGTATGTGTGTGTGAGAGTGGGTGTGTGTCTGGGGTGTGAGTGTGTATGGGGTGTGAGTGGGTGTGTGTGTGTCTGGGGTGTGTGAGTGGGTATGTGTGTGTGAGAGTGGGTGTGTGTCTGGGGTGTGTGTGGGTGTCTGGGGTGTGTGAGTGGGTATGTGTATGAGAGTGTGTGTGTGAGAGTGGGTGTGTGAGTGTGTGTCTGGGGTGTGTGAGTGTGTGTCTGGGGTGTGAGTGGGTGTGTGTGTGTGTCTGGGGTGTGTGAGTGGGTGTGTGTGTGTCTGGGGTGTGTGAGTGGGTATGTGTGTGAGAGTGTGTGTGAGAGTGGGTGTGTGAGTGTGTGTCTGGGGTGTGAGTGTGTGGGGTGTGAGTGGGTATGTGTGTGTGTCTGGGGTGTGTGAGTGGGTATGTGTGTGAGAGTGGGTGTGTGTCTGGGGTGTGAGTGTGTGTGTGTCTGGGGTGTGAGTGGGTGTGTGAGTGGGTATGTGTGTGTGTGTCTGGGGTGTGTGAGTGGGTATGTGTGTGTGTCTGGGGTGTGTGAGTGGGTGTGTGTGTGTGTCTGGGGTGTGTGAGTGGGTATGTGTGTGAGAGTGTGTGTGTGAGAGTGGGTGTGTGAGTGTGTGTCTGGGGTGTGAGTGTGTGTCTGGGGTGTGAGTGGGTATGTGTGTGTGTGTGTGTCTGGGGTGTGAGTGGGTATGTGTGTGTGAGAGTGGGTGTGTGTCTGGGGTGTAAGTGTGTGTGTGTGTCTGGGGTGTGAGTGGGTGTGTGAGTGGGTATGTGTGAGTGTGTGTCTGGGGTGTGTGAGTGTGTATGTGGTAGTGTCGCGGCTACGAACCCAGCCACCCGAGTTCCCTTCCCGCTTACGTCCAACACCGTGAGTACCCGGTGCGGTGTGTAAACATCGTCACTGGGGAGACAAAGGCGGCCGGGTGTGGTGCTGGCCACCCACCGCCTCGTGTACCGTCCCAGCCTTCATAGGTGCTCGCTAACAGCACTTGCCCCAACAGCCTGTTAAAGGCTACACGGGGGACCTTCGTCTTTGTCTGGGCGTTGGAGGCAGTCGCCATCCAACCACAGCAACGATGCTCACAACAACGAGCGCAGACCACCGGGCGGATAAAACTCCGCAGGTTGGCGCAGGTTGTTATGGGTCAACCCATAACAACCTGCAGGCCAGGGGGCCCTGTCCCGTGGCCTCTTGCCAGGAGGAGACGAGCCTCCGACACCCCATGTGATCTCAAGGTGTACAAGGCCCACCACCATTCACACCCACCAAAGACAACAAGACTGTAGGGGCAAGTGCTGTCAGCAAGCACCTATGAAGGCCGGCGCCGCACGCGACGGGGGTTGTGTGGTGGCCAGCTCCACGCCCGGCCGCCTTTGTCTCCCCTAGTGGCGATGTTTACTGCACACCGAACCAGACACTCATTTGAGGCCGAGTCAACCTAGGGGAGGCCCAGGACCAGTGCAGACATTCGTCACTGGTGTTCGGCCGTGGCTCCGCACACCCACACATGCCCTGTGCACACCCACACCACGAACCCTCTCACACCCCTTAACCACCCCCTACCACCACCATCTCACGCACACCCCCCCCCCCCCCTTCAAGCACACGCGCCGTGTAACGTGACGTAACCCCAATCAAGGCGCACAGCCCCACGCACACCCTCCCACACAGCCAGACCTACACCCCGCACAGAGCCCAAAGCACACGCCCACACACTCACACACAGACCCGCACACGGGCACCACGCACACCCTACTACACACAGGCCTATACACACCCTCAACATTGAACCACACACAAGCACCACACACACACCCCCACACACAGGCACCACACACCCTACACACAGGCACCACACACAGCCTACACACACACACCCTACACACAGAACCACACACAGGCATCACGCACACACCCCACACACAGGCACCAAACACACACCCTACACACAAGCACCACATACACATACACCCTATACACAACCACACAGGCACCAGGCACACACCCTACACACAGGCACCACACACACAGCCACCACACACACAGCCACCACACACACAGCCTACACACAAGGCACCACACACACTCAACAAACAGGCATCACGCATACCCTACACACAGAACCACACACATGAATCGCACACACACCCTATACACAGAACCACACACATGCACCACACACACACCCTACAGACACGTAACCACCCACAGGCACCACACACACACAGGCACCACACACACACCCTACACACACACAGGCACCACACACACACACAGGCACCACACACACCCTACACACAGGCACCACACACACACTAAACACAGGCACCACACACACACACAGGCACCACGCACACACAGGCACCACGCACAGGCACCACGCACAGGCACCACGCACACACGCACAGGCACCACACACAGGCACCACGCACACACAGGCACCACACACACACACAGGCACCACACACACAGGCACCACACACACACAGGCACCACACACACACAGGCACCACACACACACACACACCACACACAGGCACCACACACACACACAGGCACCACACACAGGCACCACACACACAGGCACCACGCACACACACAGGCACCACACACACAGGCACCACGCACACACACAGGCACCACACACACAGGCACCACACACACAGGCACCACACACAGGCACCACACACACACACACAGGCACCACACACACGCACAGGCACCACACACACACACAGGCACCACACACACAGGCACCACACACACACACAGGCACCACACACACAGGCACCACACACACAGGCACCACACACACAGGCACCACGCACACACAGGCACCACACACACACACAGGCACCACACACACACAGGCAGCACACACACACACAGGCACCACACACACACAAACAGGCACCACACACACACAAACAGGCACCACACACACACAAACAGGCACCACACACACACAGGCACCACACACACACAGGCACCACACACACACACACAGGCACCACACACACACAAACAGGCACCACACACAAACAGGCACCACACACACACAGGCACCACACACACACAGGCACCACACACACAGGCACCACACACAGGCACCACACACACACACAGGCACCACACACACACAGGCACCACACACACACACAGGCACCACGCACACCCCGTATCGACCCCAGCAGACAGACCCCGCCCCGTCTGTCTGGGTCGCGTCCGCCTCAGGGGTCAGGGCCGGGGTTCAAGGGGACGCGGTGGGCTCGTGGGACCCTCCCGACCGGGGATCCGAGGGGACCGCATTTGGGGTTGAGTCTAAGGGGGGGGGGGGTACACAACATCTACGGGGGGGGGGGGTCTGGGATTTTTTTGAGGGGGGTTGGAGGTGGTTGTGGGGGTGTTTGCGAGACGCGTGGAGGGGGGTGCCGTGGGGGACTCACCCCTCTGGTCGCTCTCGTCGGAGTCCGCGCCGATGGGGGCTCGGAGCAGCGCGGGGGAGGCATGGGGTCTGCAGGGAGGCCTCGCCGAGCCTCGCGCCGGCATCAAGGGTCCCCTTCACGGGGTTTCCCCGGGGGTGGGGAGTCCCGGGGGAGGTCTCCCGGGCAGCGGGGTCGAGTGGGGGGCAGGGGGGGGTCTCTCACACGCGGGCGGCCTCAGGAGCAGCAGTACCCCGGGCGCCGCGCGTGCATTGCAGGGACGCGGCGGTTCAATCGAGGGGGTTTATCTGGGGTTCAGATAAGACCCCCCCACCCCACCCCTACGGCGGAGCGATCGTTCGGAGCCGGCCTTGGGACGACGTCCCCCCTCCGCTGTCCGACTCCAGACAGCCCGGTTAGAGAGTCGTCGTCGCCCCCCCCCCCGCCCACGTGACTGCCGACGTTCCGAGACCGGTCCTCGACGCCGCTGTGGGGGTTCCCTCGGATCCCAGTCCGGTTGCGTTCCGACGGATTCCCCCCCCACTCGTGTGCGCTGACCGCGCAGTCCTCTAGCCCCGGGGCGCCCTCCTCCGGGTTATTGCGATGCCGGTCTCGGGCTCTGGCATCAGAAGTCCTCCAAGTTCCCGATCACCCGATTCGAGGGACCCCCCCCCCGCCGCTGCCCGGCTACCCCGTGCCCCCTCTGCTCTCCCCGCTGCGTGAACGCGGCCGCCCGGCGTGGCGCCCCGTCAGTGGCGTGTCTGGTCCCGATCTCCGTTCCCCTGTCCCGCACTTTGTTGGTTGGCGGCGGTCTTTGGGTTCCCCGAGTCCCGAGATGTTGGTTCGCGGGATCCCGCTCGCCAATGGGGGGGGGGGGGGGGGTCCCTGGTCTTGCAGCGGCGGGGGGGGGGGTCCTGGTTCCTTGCTTGTGGCCCGAGTCCGTGGTCCCGTGGTCCCGTGGTCCCGGCTCCCCCCCCCGCCGCCGCCGCCCCAGGTTCTGGATCCGGCCCAGAGTTTCTCGTCCCGGGTTCTCCGGTGCTGCCCGGAGCTGCCCCCAGTGCTACTCGTTGCTGCCCCCGGTGCTGCCCCACGTTCTGCCCGGTGCTGCGCCCGGCGCTGCCCCCGGTGCTGCCCCCGGTGCTGCCCGGCGCTGCCCGCGGTGCTGCCCGGCGCTGCCCGCGGTGCTGCCCGGCGCTGCCCCCGGTGCTGCCCGGCGCTCTCAGCTGTTCCAAAACCTCCAACCTCCTTCTCCCGCTCCCTCGCTTCAAAATGGCGTCGCTCGGATGGGGGCGGGGCTAAACGTGCGGGGGAGGGAGAGGGGGGATGGTGAGGGGGCGTGGCCATCGACGAGCGGTCCACCCAATCGGAGCGCGCAGCCTGAGGCGACCCAGGGTTGACCAACGCGCTCGTCCAATGGGTGCGCGGGGGGTTCGTGTGGCGGGTCCCGCCCCCATCCCCTCTCCGTGTGGGGGGAGAGAGGTGGGGGCTCCGCTATATAAACGCCGCGCGCGGGTTCCTCCACTCCGCCGGCGCGGCGGCGCTGGGCGGGAGGCGGTTGCGAGGTTCTCCGTCGCGATAGCCTCCTGCGGGAAACTCCACTGCTGGATGACCGCCGAAGGCGGGCCCCCGTTCATTCGTTGTGATCGGGACACTTGCTGGGATGAAAGGCTTCTCGACGCCGGTCCATCGTGAGGCGCGGTTGTTTCCGCCACGGCTGAAGTGATGCATTCGCCGCCGTCATGAGCGAACGGCCTATCCACTGCTGAGTTGCAGCCTCCGCAAGCATCATTGTGGGCTGCATGAACTGTTTCAACCCCTTCCTTACAGGCCAATTCGGAGATCTTATTGGTCACCCCGTGCCCCTTACAAATATCAACGTTCATCCTGCAAAGTTCCCCAATCACAAGGGAGAAACACAAATAAAACACTGTTGTTGCCCGTACTGAAACAGCTGTACGCTGTATGGACCGTGAAACCCCAATAAATCGTGTACACGAATACGGGGTAAGCTATACATACGAGTTGACAGCTGTGGGTCTGTTCACTTGCTAGGCTATAAGACCTTCCCCATTAATCATGAGACGTGGTATATCCACTATTTGATCAAGGCCTCAACATCATGATCCATAGTCTATCCACTGCTGGACGAAGGCCCGTACATTGTTATCCATGGCCCATCCACAGCTGGATTAAGGTCCGCTGATGTCGCTCACGTACCTGGCAATGTACACGATAAGCCACTTCGTTGAGCTATCGTTGGTGATAACCCAGCGCGCTTTTGAAAAAGAGCTACCTACTTAGCTTAATGGGCCTTGGTTGTGGTGGCATAGCATCACGCCTGGCTGCCTTGGTCTCCCCTCGTGGCGATGTTTACACACCCGCACCAGGTTCTCATTTGAGGCCGAGTCGATCTAGGGGAGTCTTAAGACCTGATTCCAACGTTTATCAATGGTTTTTGGTGGCCGTAGGCGGGAATCGAACTCGGGACGCTGGGTTTGTAGCGCAGTGCGTTATCCACTGTGGTGCCAACACTCCACCTCCCAACATGCACCCTATCGCGCTTTCAGACGCGCTTCTGCGACCGTCTGGAACGCTCTTGCTTCTGATATTAGGAAGCCACTGTGGGAGCAATTGCACTTTTAAATCATCATCCAGAGTGCCAAACTCATTTCTTTACAACGGCTTTTTGTGTGTTAGTTTGTCCTTAATCCACCCCGCACCTCCGATTAGCACGGTTGGCTTACATAGACGCAAGCACACGAGGAAGCTGATCTCAGAGCATCGCTCCATCTCCTCCATGGGTGTCCTCTCGGACGCGTCACCATTCCCTGGCTGGCCCACCTCCGGTCAATGCTCTTCACCTCTGGACCTCCGGTCTTCTTCGTAACTTCTCGCCATGGCGTGCCCTGTCCGAGCTCACGTAAACAAATTATTTGGTGATGCTTGGTGCTACTGCGTTGACAGTTGGCAGCGGTGCACAAGAACAATTCAGAATGAGAATATTTATTGACAACTTCACATTCCCCCGCCTCCTCCCCCTCCTACGAGCGGTACCACGCTTGATCAAAGCTCCGCACAGATAGATTCAAGAATCCATTGCCATCTTTTGGCCACCTGGCAGCAGCCAGCCAGCCAGCCCCAAAACCTACAGCAACGGCAATTCCCAAGCAGCCCACCAGGTTATAATCAGAATATTTATTTATACTTGGAGAAATCCGATGAACTATGAAGCTCCCCTTTTCATATATGTCCGGTAGGGGCGGGTCAGAACGTTACCGTAACAATAAATGGTAAATTAACAGCCACAACAACAACACGCAATTCCTTGGTAACGCTGTGTGGTCTTGATAGACAAAAAATGTATCATAGGCGACGTTTTGGGCAATGGCCCTTCATCACACCAAAGTACTTTCAGGGTCTGTATTTATTGTGGAGAAGCTCACTTCCACAGCTGTTTGTAAACAGTCTGGGTGACATTACGGACCTGCGTATGTTCTCCAATGCACGCGTGTTCCTCCTCTCTCAGTGGAATTCCAAGCGTTGCACATGTCTGTACGTACGTATGCTGAACTTCTTTCGCACCGCACGTAGTCATCCGTGCCAATCGCAGGTGCGGGGGATGAATAGAAACTAACCAGAGCAAGCAGTTCTAAAGAAATGTTTTCAATCTAGGTGATTTTAAAAGCTCCAGTGGCGGCTTCCTCACATCGTGAGGAAGAGCGTTCCAGATGGCCGCAGAGGCGCATCTGAAAGCGCCGCGCGATGCGGTGACCGTCTTTCTTCGATGGTCAGACAAAAGTGTAGTGTATAGTGTAGTGTATAGTAGTGCAGTGCTTAAGTGGAGATCTAGATGATTTCAAATTGCATAGCTCCTCGTGGCTTCATAACATTGGAAGGAAGAGCGTTCCAGACGGCCGCAAGAAGCGCGTCTGAAAGCGGCGCACGCGACGATGCAGCCAAAAGCCGCCACGTGGCCACGGCGGACTCGCTCATGGACTCCCGAGCACGAAGAACACAACCTGTTGTGCTTTACCTGATTTTCGTCGAAAATATATATTTTGGGGGGGGGGGGTGGGGTGGTTTAGTTTATTATTATTGATAAGACGGTTTTTTTGGGGGGTTATATCGCGTAAATATATAAATGTGTCGTTAAAACCCGCCACCACCCGACGACACAGCCAACTAAGTGAAGGGTTGTCAAGCAAACAGAACGTGGCGAATTCGTCACTAGTAATTATTATTTAGTTTTCCTTTTCCCCCCCGTAGCTTCTCAAAGCCAGCTGTCATCGTAGCGGGCAGGCGGCACCGCCGGTGCGGTTGTGACAACCCCACGAGGCTTCGTCGACTCGAGCGATTATCCCCCTTCGTTCGATACCCCCCGTGGTCGAGGCTAGCGACGGAACGCAAAACCAAGGTGGGGGAAGGGGAGGGAACGACCACCGCGGAGATGGAGCGATGAAAGATCGGCGGCTTCGGCAGATGGACGACAGCGAGGGGCGTTGGGGGGGTGGTTGGAGGCCTTGCTCCTGCAGTGGATAGACAATGGCTCTTGATGATGATCGTAACATTTGCATTAGTGTACTCGCAAAACGTTGATTATTACGCGGAGCCTTAATATTCGCTATTAGTGTTTTCATATTTTATTAATTTGACAAGAGGGGAGAGGGAGGGGTCTGAGACAAAGTGGGGGGGGGGGGGGTGAGACAGGGGGGGGGAGACAGCGAGAGGGGGATGAGACAGGGAGACGGGGGGGGTGAGACAGGGAGACGGGGGGGTGAGACAGAGAGGGGGGGATGAGACAGAGGGGGAGGGAGACGGGGGGGGTGAGACAGAGAGGGGGATGAGGCAGAGAGGGAGGGAGACGGGGGGGGGGGGTGAGACAGAGAGGGGGGTGAGACAGAGGGGGAGGAAGACGGGGGGGGGGTGAGACGGAGAGGGGGTGTGAGACAGAGGGGAAGTGGGAAAGACCGAGGGGGAGGGTCTTGAGACTGGGGGGTTGAGGCAGAGGGGAGGGGGTGGACAGAGGGGGAGAGACAAGAGGGGAGGGATGAGACAGTGAGGAGGGGGGAGGGAGGACGGGGAGAGAGACGGGGGGTGAGGGGCTTGAGACAAAGGGGAGGGGGAGGAGGCGGCGTTGTGAGACGGAGGGAGAGGATGAGGGGAGGGGGTGGTGTGAGACGTGGAGCGGCGGAGGGGGAGAGACAGCGAGGGGGGTGGAGACGGGAGTTGTCTGGGAAGGCAGCCAGTACGCTGTAGGCACCAACACACCATCACACAGACCATCACACAGACACCATCACACACACACAGACCATCACACACCATCACACAGACCATCACACACACACACAGACCATCACACAGACAAGCCATCACACACACACCATCACACACACAGACACCATCACACACACCATCACACAGACACCATCACACACACACAGACCATCAGACACACACACACACCATCACACAGACAAGCCATCACACACACACACCATCACACACACACACAGACACCATCACACACACACACCATCACACAGACAAGCCATCACACACACACACCATCACACACACACACCATCACACACACACACAGACACCATCACACACACACTGACCATCACACAGACAAGCCATCACACACACACACACCATCACACAGACAAGCCATCACACATACACACACACACAGACCATCATACAGACAAGCCATCACACACACACACCATCACACAGACCATCACACAGACAAGCCATCACACACACGCCATCACACACACACACACCATCACACACATCATCACACAGACCATCACACAGACAAGCCATCACACACACACACCATCACACACACCATCACACACACACACCATCACACAGACAAGCCATCACACAC